TTCTCTATATTGAAATATCTGTTTAAAGAAATTATTATACATACACTTCTCTATATTGAAATATCTGTTTAAAGAAATTATTATACGTTTCATATAGTAACGCAACATACTTAATGTAAGTAAACATTCTAATTTTTATTCCAATACATTATTATAGCAAGTGGTCAACATCTTTCATTGCTTAATACCCCGCCAATACTCTATGTGCCTGAAAGAAATTGGAGGATACCGGAAACCGAGCCTGTTGGCCAAATTATTACTAGAATCCGTGCGGAAGATCCAGAAAACGATGACCTGGTTTTTGGCCTTGAACCACATTTTCTTTCTCATTTCGACAATGATAATGATACGGAAAATTTACCGTTTCGTATAGATTCAGTCAGAGGAATAGTTTACTTGAACGAAAGTCTGGTTGGGCGAGTAAGTTGTTATATACAAGTAGAAACATAAGTGATATAAGTTTTCCATTTTTTTGTATACAAAGTAATTTATGTTTTTCGTAATACCTTTCTTATTGCACTAATTTTATATTACTTATAGAAGTTAGTTATTGCAATATTGCAAGTTCAACTAATAAACTCAGGGAAACGTTTTTTCTTTTTTCAGGGTGGCGAAAACTTTTTTTTATACATTACTGTTTCAGATGGAGACTTAACAGCTAAAAATGAAGTGTTTGTTAACATTCTTGCTAAGGGAAACGATACCTCGTCCAATTTTCGCACACCACCGTCAGTCACAAATGTTGTACAAAATATTTCTCAAATCCTACCACCTTTTGACACCTTACCAGGTGTACAGTCAGTAAGAAATAAATATTCGAAAGAACGACCAACGAATCACTCTCCCTTAAATTTTGGTACCAATCAAGGTTCATTTGCACTGAACCATAAACATCAGTTTTTACGCCCGCTTAATAGCAATAGTAATGAGCAAACATCTATATTAATGTTGTCGTCAGCTACTGGCGATCCTCATACTGCAACAGGTCGTCTGAAATTAACGCCAATAAAGCATAGCAATAACGAGCATTTTGTCAACGGAATGGCTAATATACGACATAATTACATCAACAACCAAAACGACTCAGTATTACATTTAAATAAAAACATAACTGCCCCAGCCAATGATGATTCCATAAAGAAATTATATAACAAGATCTCATACGATGAAAGTTTGAGTACTAATTATTCGACAAAAGCAATCGTGCTTCCAATTATATTAACTTCTTCAGGAATATTTTTTGTGGCTGTTGCCATTTTTGGATTTCTATATCGAAAACATTTGTGCGCCATAAGTAAAAAATTGAAAAAAATATCCAAAGAGGAGATGTTTAAGATATCCAATCAAAGCAATCTAAGTAACAACTTAGCTGATGATAGCAGAAATTCAATGGTTATGCAACATTGGAATGGCCCTACTGCTTACAACAATCGTTACGTACCATGGGAAAGAGATCCTCAACATAATGGATTGGTAAGACTGTATTTTACAAACTACGCTCTTACTAATGCCCGTAACGATGAGTATGTTACTAATTTTATGAGGTACAATTTCTTAAGAAATACGAAATTCGCGATACTTTTTGAACAAACATCGTATCTACAATTTATCAGCATTATGTTTTTCTGTGTCCAAAAAAATAGGTTACATCACAACTGTCGTCAAATGCCACCAGCGGAGCTATACACGATGACGATACTAATGTGACAAATAACATTGGTGGATTAACAAATATTACTGATAATGTTATTGGTCATTCGATAAATGCCTCCCACAATTCAGTTGATAGCTCAACCTGTAATAAGAATAGCAAATGTTGTTGGGAGTTCCCGCGGCACCGACTTAAATTCTTCAATATTTTGGGTGAAGGAGCTTTTGGTCAAGTATGGCGTTGTGAAGCAAACGACATTGATGGTAAGTACACAAACTAAATATTCCGATTCTGCAAGTAGATTCGTTTATTTTGCAGTGTGAATGATTTGGTAATAAGCTAAAATGTGATAAAGTATATTTTAATTGGTTTTTCGTTCTGAGTCAGATATTCCATCACAAAAAATTATCCATGTTGCTCTATTTTTTACACCCCTCAATGTTATCTTTGAAGCTATGCTATAAGTGATAAAAAATGTGTTACTGTCAGTCTTATACTAGAACTAAAACATCCCTTATTTGCCTATTGATAATGCCTATGTTCATAGTAGGCAGGACCTTAGAATTAATGTGTGTGCGCATCTAGTGGCTCCCGGGCGATTTCCAGTCCTTCAGCCTGGGCTCAGTAAGGAAAATTATATTCTAAGTATTAAATAGTCAACTATCTCGTAGTTTTGTTCCGGATATAAAGGATTATAAATTTAAGTGATGGAAAGTAATTTTTAAAAAACATATACATATCTAGATACATATCAGTTTATTCTTTTTATTTTTTATGAAATTATAGGCACAGAAGGGGTTACTACTGTGGCTGTGAAAACTTTAAAGGAAAACGCTACTGAAAGTGAAAAGAAAGACCTGATGAGTGAAATTGAAGTAAGTACAAATAGTTCCTTGCTTACATACCAGAGCTAACGGTTCAGAAACCAAGTAAGGAAGGGCTAAGTTTGGGTATAACCGAACATTTTATACTCGTGCAACTTGCAAGGATCAAAGCTGGGAAATTCCGTCAGATGTTGGTTGGTGTTGGAAAAACTTTAATTCATTGTTCGACGAAATCGTGAATGGATTACAATCGCATTTGATATCATATTAACTTATTTTGAAGGTCATACCATAGACTCAGTTTTATTACTATTTCCATTTCATATCCCGTCAACGAAAATTACACTAAAATCATCATCAAATGAAATACATATACATAAGCATGTGACATAAACTCAACCGAAGAGGCTTCTAAATTTAATATACTGAGTTGATGTGAAAAACGTTTATTTTTGACACTGTTCAGGTATACTTGAAAAAATGGTATACAAAAAAAATTAAACTTTATAATTCATTCTCGTGAAAAATCATTTGTTTTGTTTCTGGTCATGGCTTTATTCTTCCTTGAATGAATAATCGAATCAAATCGGCCAATTTGAATTTGTCGTCATATGTGCCCACGTATGCACCTTCGAAAGGATGCCAAAAAAATTAGTATAAAATATGAACTTGAAATTAATCTAAAAATTTTGTAACTCACCAGGTTTAATTACTATCAAAAGTTATTTCCACTTCAAAATTGGAAATTTTATATTCGTTAAAGATATATTTGCAACAGAATTCAGTGTTGCAACACGCAAAGTCCAAACACAATTAAAGTGGACAAATTCGAAATCACAAATTCGCCGTAAATGGTACACAATTATCCGATATCGGTATGGTATTTGCAACTTATACAAAACAGCGATGAAATCTACTTCTGTATACGACTGTGTTAAGTGTGAGGCGCAAGGCAGAAATAATATCGACCAATGAAAACGTTCCACCGCGCTTGCAGTTGTTGTTGTCGCTAAATTTGCACCAACAAATTTTTACCTGAGTTCCCGTTGACCTACATGCCAAAATAACGTTGTGCACTTTTGCACGTCTTCTCCTTTCCAACGGTATAAATGTTATCCATATATGTCAACGGCAACACAGTCAAAAACCAAACACAAACACCTTTGTTAGCGTAATTATGTATAGATAAACATATATATGGAGTAAAGTTAGTGAATGTTTAAAAATCCTGAATATTAGCTCTATGGGGCTAAGGCAAATTTTTGCTAGAGTTTATCCATTTTAGACACAAGGGTACACTGTCTACGATTTCTCAATTTCATTACAATAACTCCCACATTGGCCGATATATGTGGTGTAAAGTCAAACGGAAGTTCGAAAATCTTTATATCAGGTATTTGGGGGCTGAGAGAAGTATTGACACGATTCAACCCAGTTTTGACACAAGGATATTTATTATTAACAAAACAATTTCCCAGAATTTCAATAACACAGATTGACCGATATTTTCGGCAAAATGTCAAAAAAAGCATTGGGGTCCACATATTGGGTATGTGGGGGCTTGAACAGTTATGATCCGTTTTTGACAATTTTTAGACTTGAGGTGGCTTACTTTAAAGGCACTATTTGTGAAGATTTTTATCCGAATATATTCATTGGTGCTTGAGTTGCGTGCAAGAATGTGAAAGAATCATATGGAACTTAAAATTGTGCTATATGGAAAGTGGAAGTGGGGGTGGTTGTAGTCTCATTTTCACAATATAACATAGGATCATAGCTAGGATAAGGTTATGTACTGAATTTGGTTTAAATTGGTAGAATAGGTCTGGAGATATGAAATTCTACCTTAGTGTATCCGGTGCCACGCGCATCGTCTATTTTTGACGCCGGCTCCTATGAAGCTTACCTTATCATCCCAGGTGAAAAATTGTATGACTCTGGCGAATTTAGTTATTGATTTATCACGCTTTTAGTAGTTTTTAACAAAATTATATGGGGAGGGTGTGGGGTCATAATCCGCTTTCATCTATTTTACACCGCCGGTAGGGGTTCTTATAGGAAATATCCTAAGCGAATTTGGTTAGTGTTGATTTATTGGTTTAGGAGAAATGTACATTAAACTTATTAGAGGTCGGGACCACTACCCATTTTTTTTTAAATTTTAGCCCACAGGTGCGATCACCTGTACCAAATTACAGATTTATATCTTATATTGGTGCTTAGTTATGACATTTTATAAGTTTTCGATTAATTGCGTTTCGAAAGCGTGGCACTCAACTCGTCTCGTCATCCTGATCATTAATATCTATGTATATCTAACTCGATTATTTTTAGGTAATACAAGCAACCGTGAGGTGAACATAACATTATACTCTGTAGCAACATGTTGCAAAAGTATAAAAAGTGAAAGTGTTCAACTTCATTGTTCGACAAAATCGTGAATGGATTACAATCAAATTTGGTGTCATATTAACTTATTTTGAAGGTCATAGACTCACTTCTATTTATTGCTATATTTAACTTCCCGTCAGCGAAATTTATACTGAAACCATCCTCAAATGAGATAAACATATGTGATATAAACACAACCGAAGGGGCTAAATTTAATATATTGAGTTGATGTGGAAAACGTCAACCGGAGAATCGAAATGCACCGGAGCCCAATTGCATTTATATTGAGCGCCAAACCATTAATATATTATATATACAAAATTAGGAGTATTTTCCCGGGCGTACAAAATAATTACTCGGGATAACTGGCTCAGTAATCGGGCTTTATTCGCAGCAAAAAATGTAGATGTTGCTGAAATCAGTTTCAAGATAGAACAATTATTGGCAGACAATCTGATGTATTCCAATGTTTATATAGAAAAGGTTATGAAAGCTTTGATTGCTTGATGACAGAGTTGATTCAATTTTATCATCTTTTAAAGTTGTTTGTCCTATCCTCGACACAGCTTAACAGATTAATTGTAACAAGTAAAGAAGGCTAATTTCGGGTGTAACCGAATATTTTATACTCTTGCAATTTGCAAGGACTAAATCTGCGTAAATACCTTCAAGTGTTGGCAAAGCTACATATTAAACAAGTAAGAAAAGCTAACTTCGGCTGTAACCGAACATTTCATACTCTTGCAACTTGCAAGGATCAAATTTAGTATTTTATTAAGTTATATTTTAGGTAGTTTTTTTTAGTCATAGACTTAATTAGTTTTATAACTATATTTTACTTAACATCAGCGAAAATTATATTAAAATCATCCTTAAATGAGGTATATCTGACAAAAACTTAACCGAAGAGGTTAAATTGATCTGCAAAACTTCAACCAGATGATCGCAATTGATGATATTATGAAATTAAGATCAAGGTCTCGACCTACTGCAATCATGTTCAGTGGTTTCTTAGAAAAACTCAAATATATATTAGTATAATATCATTTCACATATTTTTAGCCATAAACTAATATGTATCCACGTATAATAATAATTTAGCTAAGATATCTTACACTGATATATACGGTATAAGGGAGGTTGACACGATTTTATCTATTTGAGGCATTACTACATATTAATAATAGAAACAGTTGCCCTATGAGTTTCATTAGGTATATGGAGACTAATTGAAATATTAACTCCATTCAATAAATTTTTGACACACAGAAATATTATTCTTACGCTAGCAAACAAGTTTGTGTTCCCTCTTTGACTGTGTTTCCGTTGGCATATATGGATAATTTATACCGTTGGAAATGGGAAGACGTGCAGAAGTGCAGAACGTCGAGGTCACACTGAATCTGTTTCAATTATAATTTTAACGCATATTAAATTTTAAGTATTGTTTGTCAAAAAAAAAAAAAAAATTAAGTGGAAATAACCTTTGATATCATTCATTTTACTTTGGTGAGTTAGAAATTTTGAAACTATCTAAGAATCTAAATTGGACAGCTTAAACACCGGTCGGTTGTGGTACCTAAAAACTCCTATAAGCGCGATCAAAAAACCCTTACAAGTCGCTTTGTGCCTATAACAAACTTGGTAAGACAGCCAATATCCATTTCGGCTAAGTATTAAGGTCCATCGAAAGTGTGATTGCCGAGACGTTTCAGTCTCAGCCTAGCAAAAGCCGGAAAGTGAAGAAGAAAGTGCCGGGATGTTTCCACCTCATCCTCCTCCATACAACTTTGGCAACTAGCATCGGGTAGTACTCTAAGCCGTACCGCGTGAGCACCCATTAGACAGTATCCAGTGAGAATTATTACCATAGCGGCGAGATGCACTTTGCTCAGGGCGAGACACACACTCCTTGACTTGCTTTGATTGCACGGTTCTCGCGCTCAGAGCTAGTATTGCCGCCCTACTGTCGGAGTAGGTAGTAGTAGCTTCATAAGCCCAGCTTGCCTGAGCCTTAAAGCACACTTCGCAGCAATGCACTTACCGGCAATGTCCCCAGGTGCTATGTTTAAAATAGCATTAAGAGCTAACGTTGGTGTAGTTAGCAGTGTACTGGAGATTCCGATGAGCGCCACTCTTTGGACCCGCTCAAGCTTTTTAGCCAGTGCCGACCTTTCGAGTGCCCTCCACCAGACGAACACACCATAGAACATTATTGGCTTGACTACGGTTTCGTAGAACCAGAGCACCACCTTAGGTGAGAGTCCCCTTTCCCTATAGCCCCTTTGCAGCAATATAAGGCGACCGATGCCTTCTTAATTCTTTCCTCAATGTTTGGCCTCCAGGAAAGTTTTCTATCGAGGATAAGCCCTAGGTATTTCACTTTATCAACAGGTTGAAGACGAGAACCCCCGAAAGAGGGGAGAGGCACATTTGGGATTTTATACCTCCTAGTAAATAAAACCGCTTCGGTTTTACTTGGGTTGACGGCTAGGCCGCTTCTATTCGCCCAGTTAGATACCACGTTTAGATACCCTTCGGTGAACTCGTAGACGGTATTTAGAAATTTTCCCTTGACCATAAGAACCACATCATCAGCATAGCTGTTACTCGACCCTTCCCTGGGGAGTTCCCCTCTTAACTTTTCTGGTTGACTTGGC